CACAGCAAAGCTATACGGAAGAAGCTGGAAAGTCTAAAAAATTCGATAGTGGCGTGCCGCGACAAATCACCAATTTGAAGCATCGTCCATCAAATTGTCGCTGGTTTTATGTGGTGAAAGCGACTCGTTTCTCTACAGATTTGCGACGTACAATAAAGAGCGGATTCTTCTCTATAGTCTACGAAAGTTTGCTGAATAGATCGACGGCGATGAAGCTCTACAAACTTTGCAGAATTTAAACTGTGCTGGAGGAGGGTTGTGGCAGCTTTCATGGGGCCAGCGGCTGGCCATGTTCTTCAGTATCAGATGGAACTGTTACAGTGGAGAATCAATCTTTATACTAATTCAAAAATCATCAAAAACTCTAGGACATGGGTCCAGCATTCCTCATTATAAAGGAACACACACATCCCTGAAAGGTGTCTTGAACGCACATCGCACGGCCAACCCTTCACAAGTTGTACCAGCTGAACTTCAGAGTGGTTCTGCGAACATCTTACTTAGTAGACCCTTGAACTATCTACTGTCAAACTTCTGACGATCTCGATAGCTTCCTTGAAGAGAAATACATCAAAAACCAACATGATGCTAAAACGACCTTCCCTCAGTTCATCGCCTCCAGAGGTCCAGCATTCCAAATAAACGTACCCTGTTGAACGGTTTCTTATAGAACAAGATTCGCGCTTTCAAATGGTTTTTTAATCAACTCGAAAGGTTTAGCCCAAGCCGAGATACGTGCATTTAAAATTAGGGGCTGGAAAACGACAGAACTTTCTGAAACACCTAATACTACCAACGCCTTTCGTATGCTCATAGCACTCGACATCCAATCAAAATTGTGTTGCATTTGGATGCCACCTTAGGTAAGGAGAAGTTATGATGAAATGAATACTGGCCTTCCCACAATTTCATGTGGATTGATTGCTTAGGTGGGGAAGATAGAGCTGTGTGCTGAAGTTACACGAGTCCTCTTCTCCCGGCTTGAACGGGCGCGAAACGGGCTTGTCATAAACGGCTCCGTGTCAACAGAATCGATGGGATCGCCGCGCCAGTAGGCGTGGCCACGACGGCGCGGCGGGTGGGCGTGTCCATTGCCAGATATCGGATGTACTAATGGCGTGGGACTTTCTGAGCATTCCGATGACTGTGATTGTGAATGACTGTTCAGCGGAATTTCTAATTGTTGAACCCTACGTGTTCTACTTCGGAGCAAGGATACAGTCACTTTCATTAGCTATCTTAATATTGTAGTTGTTCCTTATCTAAATCTATAATAAGCATGTAGCTTTTTGGGCTTTGTGATCAAAACATGAATATAATTTGTCTACACTACTACCAAGTTTCACTCACAGTGTCTCTAAACAGCGCCATTATTTTACAAAACACATTTTCTCTATGAGAACCGTGTGGTAGCGAACAAAATAAAGAACTACGACGACCAGTAAGGTGATCCTATCTTTGCTCTGATTAGGTGTGTTTCCTGGACAAATAACTTGAATTATTCTGATGTCTAAAAGAATTGAGAGTCAAAGTTTCGACTTCTTCCTTTTGCTGTAAGCCAAACTATTGAGGTATTTGCTTCGATGCGCAATCGTGATTCAGCTCTTACACGCTCTCAAACACGCTGAATTTTTGAATGTGGTCATAAAAAAGATGTTCGGGATGGATCGTTCACTCTGGCTTCGTTCAAACAAAAAGGATGTTTTAGATAATGTTGTAGTCAACCATATGATAGCAAGCAATAGCTATTTTTAGGTCTTATTCCTGCGAATATATAATAGTTGACTATTAAAAGAATTGTTTCGAGTCAACATAGTGTTGCAGTCATCACGGCAAAGTACCTTGGGACAGGTTCTGTAACCATTGTTTTCCCCAGATATAACCAATTACACGTATGGTGCTGGCGGCTTCGCCTCAGGCTCTTGTCTTTAGGACTAGGTCGCACAAGATCTTCATTGCTCGGACAAACAACAGAAATGTCCAGTGAGGAGAATCCAATTAAGATTTCGTTTGAAGTTTGTTGTTTAGATTCCCAGAAAGGTTGCGATAAGCCGCGGTATATATGATTCGATGCAACAGTTTTTGTTCATAGCATCCACATAACTCTTACTGGAAACTAGTAGCGAGCGTCAGCTCTGTTGCCTCGTAAGCACGTGGGTAGTACTCGCTACTCATTTTCAAGGAGTGGTTGGAAGAGCATAAGTCTTGGTAACTGAAAAGAAGTTCTTTCGTTTATTAATAACCACTTACATCTGTTAGTTAAAATTTGATATGAATAATTCAAGATATAAGTTAGGGAAACCGTGTCAAAGAAGAATTTCCAGTTCTTAAGCTCTGCAATTACCAAAGAACAAATAGTATTGAATCACAGGTGGTTAAAATGATGAACAGTGTATTTTAGAAAGGCACGGTCATCATAGTTTGGAGGAGTAAGTCTACCCACTTTAAGTTTCACGCTGTAAACATCCTACTAGTCACAAAGAGAGAGTATGAGAGATCGCCATCCTACTCAGAAGTCGATATAGACAACACTCGTCCTGAAGGCTCCGCCCCCTCGCCGCACGATTGGCCGCACGCGGTGGCGCGACGAGCCATCGATTCTGTTGACCGTTCCCCGTCAATAAAAAACTCGAATCGCACACGATCTCAGTAGCATAGAGCGGATGCCTGCTGCTCTCCTACGGTGGACTCTCTCGTGGCTCTCCTTTCTACGCTCAGTGTCTCGTACTATTCAGCAACAAGGCTCAATCAATGGCTTAAAAAGGCCCTAATTTTTAAGATGCTTTCGACGATGCCAGTCCATTTCGCATATTTTTTTTCGACCGCGGCGAGCCACACAAATGTGAATCGGGTGTGCCTTAGGACGCTGGTGTTGAAATCCGACATCATTAGGAATTCCAGAGCTCACTCGAATCTACTTAATCGCTTCGGAAGTCTTGTAGTTGGTAAGTGGACGCTCCAGCCTACAATATCTCGCAAGCCTTCGTTTCAAAAACGCAGCACTAGGTGAAACTCTGAATCTAAGCCTGAACCTTACCTGCCAATTCAAACCATGTATTGTTACTTGAACTCAGAAAATGGTCAGTTCACAATCACAAATACATGAGCGATGTGTGTAAAACAAATATTTGTGTACTGGTTAGAGGGAGTCTTCTGCGAAAAATTCTGCATTCTTTCTCAACATGAATGTATCAGTTGTAAGAGCACTAGATGCAATACACAAAGTTCTTTCGCATGATGGTTCGGATTTCCGAAGAGAAAACAAACTCACGAAAATCCATTCTATGGACAATCGAAGGTAATTCGGGCGGAGCCAAAGGCAGGCGCACGTGGAATAAATTTGCGGGGCCGCTACGCTATAGGTGTTATTTATTATGGACTCATAATTATGGGTATTCCTCAGTTATAAGTGACTAGCGGGAGGTCTCCGCTCGAAGGGTGGAACCGACGGTGAGTTTATTTCTTGCGCTGTCCTGATCTTCTCGAGGGGTTTCTGACACGATGTCGAAACCGCTAGAGTTGATGAGGCGCTTGGTGGTGTAGAGCGTAAGTCTAACGCTTGAAACACGTTCAGGCCTCTGAAGACGACGATTCAGTCGAAACGTTAGGCCATGAATAACTTAGTAATGTAAGTTTGTACCATAATTTAGTGAATCACTTGGGTATTTTTGAATTAAATTTTTTTCTTTTCTATTCGAAGTTCTTGCTCATCAAACATACACACCTGTCACCTACAACATATTGTATGTTCATGGAAATTTATTCGCTGTCTCTCCTCTGAAATTGTGGGAGCTCCTGAACGAAGAAAGACTGGAAGTTCGGGTTCGACGATTCAGGAGCATTGCTTCCGGGGAAGGGGTTGGCAGCCAGTACTGGTTTTCTTGTCTTGGCGTGGGTACAAGGCGCCCACGCGGCGGATGGGTGGAAGAACTGGTTGATCCACAATGTTGTTTGGCGTTCGAAAGATCCTAATCAGAGGTGATGAAGAGATGAGCTCAAAAATAGGTTCTTGAAAAATTGATGTAACAGCCGCGTAAGGCAGCGTATAAATGGGCTGACTAAATACTCGGGTAGGACAATGTGTGCGCTACTTGGCAAAACATGTTTCACGCCTTTACAATTTTTCTTGGATTTTTCATAGCAATAAATGTAAAGTGATTCACTAATTATGGGACAACCTAATAGATTTTCCACCGAAAACCTCAGGGCACAAGAAATTTCTATACCAGGCAGACTTATTCATTGTGAAGAAAGAGCTTGGTTACTTCGGCCATCACATTTTTACAAATTTCCGTACGCACGCTTTTGGTCATATATTACATTTTTATGTAATTTTTAAGAACTGGATATATTGGAAGGTCGCGAAAATGAAGTTTCGCGAATACATCATCCTAACGTGAATCTTTCCGAGTCTTCCTGCAGCATACGAGCACAGTCATGCCTCTGACCGCGCTGACCATTAGTCTTCCTCATCTTCCTCATCGAACTGGCCCTCTATACCGTTCAAGTATTGACTGAATGATGCTGCTTCTGATGAGCTGCCACCTTCTGAAATCTTTACCATGAATTTTTAATGAATAAATGGGTTGGAAAACACCATACCGCCGGTCGTGAATTGAATGGGAGGAGGTAGAAGGCCTCGTTGCTCGTAATGCCGGAGATAATTGCATAAATGCTTCAACCTACGCTCCTTGCTGCGACGATTTTGAAACCACACCTAAATAGGAAAATGAATCAAATTCAATAAGGATCTTGGGCACCTGAGCTTTGACATGATGAAATTTATTCTCAAGCAATCCTCCACTAAACATTCAACATTATTTAGAGCCAAAAACTAACAGGATCATCACTCAGTCCAAACAGTGAGTTGTTAAGCGATCGAATGTGCAAATTCTTTTCCACCACTCATAGTAACTTATGGTACTGAACAATCCCTAGAATCGAAATTTGGCATATCGCTAATGAAACCTAAACTCCCTTCAAGCTGCCTTAGGAAATACTCAAAGGCAGAGTTTACGATTAGATAGCGGCTTTCTAGAATCAATGGTAGGCATTCTTCAGGCCTGGATGAAGAAAAACATAAGAAACGACTCAGAACCCAAATGGAAATGGAAATGGGACCCCTTTCTTGCCCGATGCGACTCCATCTTTGCTGCCCTCTTCATCGTTGACGCTTTCTCTCCGCTAAATGGCTAGAAACCTGCAGGCGAGGGTAGCAGTCGTAAGACGTTCGGCACTGATAGGGCGCGGGAAAGCCACATGATAGTTCAACCGGAGGCGTAACTTCGCGCGAGTTTGCCTATTGGTTCGCACCCTGATTGTGTAGGTGAAGTCGGCCTGTCTGCACAGTTGTCCATTTTCGACCTTGGCACTGCCTGAATCCATCTTCAAATCTGGTGATCAAGAAAATCTTAGAATATTAATAGAGAATCCCCTTAAAAAATGCTGTCAACTTGGGACAATGTGGGCAGCAGGGAGCAATGCACATGAGGCGGCCCCTGAGCGGCATCGTCATTCCGTATATTTTTCCTATGGGAACATGGTAAGCATTTTAATGCCAAGTCATTCACCAGCCCAGCGGGATCGTTCTTCAAATTAGAGTTGTAACTGCGCGAAAGAGCCATATAAGGGCGCTTCCTGAAATACCGAAAATCTCCTACAATTTTATGTCCATTAATTATCAATGCGACTAAAAATCGTGTTGTAGGTTAGGAGGGCAGATTTGAAATCAGCGTCCAAGAGCGTATCTTGCCGTATACAGTATATGTCCTTTTACAAATGGTCACTGGTTCTTGGACTTTTCCCCTTGTTCGGAACCTGATATAATGGACAGAAATTTCTCTGTATCTTTTCGAAGAAACAACGTATAAAAGATGAAAAACAACAACCCTGAGACCCTCATTACTGAGGCCTGGGCGAGAGCCAGCTTTGCTGATTGCATAGTTTAGAAGGCTTTGGTTGTCACATGAGAAATCCAATTCAATACATCCCTGAAACTCATCAAATTGAAGATGTTATTTCACTGCAACAAAGAGCGACCTCGGTGAATTCGATAGAAGCAAGTCTAATCAAAGTCTAAGAGCATCCTGAGCTCAGTTCAATGGCCAATTGTCGGTCAGGTTTCAGTTTACTGAACCTAAAAGGTCAGCGATCGATCCGCATAAGAAGAGGCACATCGGGCATATGCACCAACGAAGCAGTATTGTCTCGAGGGAATGCGAGTGTGGCGCTCACACGACGAAGTTGTGGTGCTGAGCGCAACTTTCGCAAAGCACCCGCCCTACAATAAGCGAATCCGCCACACCAGTTCACTTATGTGATTGCCTACTAGCTGCGTCGCACAGCGGCACATTTGAAGCAACTCGACTGGAGCATGAATTGTCATGCTGTCACCAAACGCGCTGCGTTCATACATCCGTTTTCTGAGCTGTCACCTGTTCATGAGTGAAAATTAAGCCAAAAAGGGGGGGGGGGGCCCGTTTCGCGTTTTCTTGACGGATATCTCGCTTTTTTCGCCACTAAGGATCAGAACGTGAACACCACTTTTCTTCTGTTAACCCTTCTTGAACCAATCGAAATCTCTGCCTTCAAAGGTAGCGCACACGATAACTTCTAGGTGGGCTTAGATTAGAAAGGGATGCAATGGATACGGTGCGCCAGGAGAAATAAAGAGCAGAAAAATTTGTCTAGAAGACGCAAATGAGACACTTCGTTAGCGTGTTCGTTTCCGACTATGAGCTTGAAAGAGAACGGGCGTTCGGACTTGTATCCTGACATTCAACATCATGCCAACAAGCAACACGTTGACTGATAACGCATCAACTAGACAGTCGATGGTACGGCCGCCTCAAAGGCGGATTCTACGATGGAAATCAGCTCATTCAAAGTTATGATGGAGATGGTCAGTGATGCACTAAAGAAGAAAAATAACAAGAACAACGGCCTAGAACCCAAACCCTTCTTTGCCCGTTGATTCTGCATTGATGCGACTCTCATCGGTGCTGCCCTCTTCAACGCTAACGCTCTCTCTGCTAAACGGCAGAGGCTCAGACAGCGAGGGGAGGCATACCGCGCCGACAGCGCGCCAATAGCGCCGCGGGGAAGGCCATGCTAGATCGCCGAGGCATATCCTTCGATGCGAATTGCGTGTCGGTCGCACCCTTAGGAGGTCTGCCTGTCTCTCCACTAGGCAAGTTTCCCCATGTTCGACCTTTGCCCTGATCGTGAAATCCACGTTTAAGTGCAACGCACTTTCAAGATGAAAAGCGAAATGTTGCTACTGGCAACACACTAATGGGCGGAGCGGTTCTGAGATACTCCAGTTTTTAGGTTTCGAGCCCGATCTGCCACTATCTCACCGTTCACCGCAAAACGCAGTACCTAGATTCCTTTATCGCTTGGCACTGCCACTCAAGCATTTACTTCCTGCTAGGCACCCACTCCATTGTAATCACTGCCTCTAAAATCGCAATCAAAAGGGTGAAGGAAGAGCGGATCTTGGAAGTGAGTGGTGGTGATCTCGGGTACCCCCCAGGAGGCCCGTCGCGCGGCAAGAAGGCAGAGTCGGCGGACGAGTTGCAGCGCGTGGTGTGCGATGTAGGACGTGCAATGGGACACTCTATTTAACTTGACGCGAAATCCCTATAGTACGCGCGCGACTCGTCCGCTGACTTTGCCTTCTTGCCGCGCGACGGGCCTCCTGGGGGGTACCCGGTGATCTCACTTTTGTCTAAACTGGAGTTTAGGGCGGTTTTACGACTGTGAGCTGCTCCTCGCGTCACACTCGATTTCATCAATGTTCTCCCTACGGAAAAAAGGTTTCAGAAAAGTGGTAGCTTTACCTGATTCTGCTTGATAGTCGTTCGAGGCCCACGCCGCTTCAGAAACTTATTTTCATCGTCGCAAAACTCGGAAAACGTATACGAATCGAAGTTGTATGCAAATGAAATATCAAGCCAACGAATCAATCTGGACAAAACTTTCGAGCAATACCTTTTAGTGAAATTCGTGAGCCGGTCGGTATCATAACTACTGGGATCGGTCGAACACGTTGGGAATGTGCTGGTCCCGCGCTGTTGCTCTGAAAAGTCCTCAAATAAATTAGCCACAAAGTCTCCACCATTGTAGTATGATAAATGTTATACATTGGTCAATGCGGTTTCAAAAAGATATAGGGCTTACGCAGTTTCCCCCCACACTCGAATTCTATGCAAAATAGTAGAAGTAATGCCTAAAACTAACCAGGAAGGTCTTTCAGGGCGTGACGAAGCTTTTTGAAAACGGTCTTTTGCATGATATAGGGGCAGATGCGGGAACCACAGAACCATGTTTAATTTTTCCTGAACGGCCCTCTGAATACCAGAAAAGGGGTCCCTAGTTCGATTCCTCTTGGTGACAAATTTTTGCATTTCGAGTTGACGTTCCAAAATTCGCGCAAAATGGAGTTCTGATTGTTCTGGTTGGTTCTAACTCCATTTTGCGCGAATTTTGGCACGTCAACTCGAAATGCAAAAATTTGTTACCACGAGGAATCGAACTAGGGACCTCCTTTTCTGGTATTCAGAGGGCCGTTCAGGAAAAATTGAACATGGTTCTGTGGTTCCCGCATCTGCCCCTATATCATGCAAAAGACCGTTTTCAAAAAGCTTGTCACGCCCTGAAAGACCTTCCTGGTAAGTAACTCAAGTTTGCATAGCAAAGTGGTCAGTCTCAAGTCTTGAATGCGGAACCTAGTACAACACATCGATCAACATGGCAGGGAACGAGGACAGTTTTTGAGGAAATCCGAACTATGATCCGTACAAGTGATGAACAAGACCTACTGTTATGTCACGTTCTTATTAACTCTTCGAGTTAGACTCGAGGATGAAAAAAAGGATTTCATGAAGGATAAAACGGAAGAACGGACGAAGGAGAAACTAGCGTACTGTGAAGAGACAGGCAGGCCCCCTGAGATGGTTCAGCAGTAATTCGCATCATAAGGAGCTTCCCCGAGGTGGTGACGGCTTTCCTTTTGACGCAGTTGGCCCCTGACGCCTATCGACTATCTAATCGCTCACCGCAGGTCTATACAAGGCGAGTGATTAGATAGCCGAGAGAGCGTCAGCGTTGAAGAGGGCACAACGGGCAAGAATGGGCGTCCATTTCGGATTCCAGGGCGTTTCGATTATCCGTTCTCTTTAGTTTGCCTTTCACGACCGCCTCTATCCCTGTCCTTAAGCTACCTTTTCATCGTAAAATCCGCCTTCAAAATGTGGCAAGGCTTTCAGACCAAATCATCTTGTGGCTTATTCCCACGATCTTCAAGCTGCTGATGGTCAACACAGACTGCAATCGAAGTGAATTCTCTATGCCATCCACCTCTTCAAGTTTTTGAAAATCCTATGAGCGGCCTCTAGTACTCGGAGCGGAACGTTGCTGTTGTGCAAAATAATTGCTGTCTCCACTGCTTTTCACTGGTAGAATCTAGGGTCTCCACAAATGAATGGAAGCCGAAGCTGGTACAGCTAGAGTCGTTCCCTCAACACTCCTCCAAAACCTTGTAACGAAAGGAAAGAGCTCAACACCCGAACTATACAAAGATTTCAAGATGAGAAAGCTAAGGATCCAGCGCTGAAGCCAATGAGGTAAGGTCGATGAAGGCAATGCATTTCTGATAGTCATGTGCTAGTCGAGGATCAGGTTGAAAACAACCGGACGCTGTAAACGAGGATGGATAAGTGTTTCAACTATGCGTAATGCATTTGTGAGCAGAACTGAAAAGGGTGAGTAATAAAAGAAGTCAATGCACTTGTTGTCGTGTTGAGAGTGCTACAAGACATAAGGACGACACGGTTTGAGCTCCACGAGGCCCTCGAGCCTAGAAAGAACTCAGCTTATTTCGTCAAGCTGTAGTAGCTTTTCTAGGGAGGATCACTGGATCACCCAGCAATTATAGCGTGGTTTTCCAGCCGACTTATGGGAACAGTTTGGACAAGGTCATTATGTAAGGACAGTCGTGCTCCAAAGAGCCTTAAACTTGTAAATTAGTTCTTCGAAGGAATGATGCAATAAGAAAACAGTAATGAAGTTTGATGAAGATAGGGAAGAATTTTTGTAGCCGCTCTGCGTAAGTAGGAACGTAAACATAGAGGGCGGTGTAGCCAGAAAGACGAGAAGAAGGGGAACAATCCAATCTATTATGTTGAATGTAAGTCGGGCACTGGAGGAATGAGAAGATATACTGGTTCTTCATACGCTGATCGACAAAAGAAGTGCAGGCATCTTTTCCGCCCCAAAAAAAAAATAAAAGTGCCTGCTATAAATGCTGCATGCAATGCAAAGCCAACAGTTGGAGCTAATCATTCCAACCAAAATCTGCTCCCAGGCAGAAAATCGGGCCCACATCGAAGACATGCATGCAGTAACATACAGATGAAATACCATCCCTGTCTAAACATCTCTAGCAGCCTTACAGGCATAGTTTTTTGATGGGCGGTTCACTAATATACTCACCTTCAACTTGTAAACCATATCCGTAGGAGAGATCCCGAGCTTACATCCTGAGCATCGATATGGACTACAGTCTCTGTAAGGCTACAACTTAAGGTTAGAAATGAGGCTAGAACAGACGGAGTAGCACTGAAGTAGTGGGGCTGCAGATACAGATTTGCCATCTACAGTACAGTTGGCCGTCCTTTTCAAAACACTTCTCCTGCAATTGTACGTCGCAAACGCAGCATCGGATACAGTTTTCATGGAAAACTCGGGAATCGATCTGAAATTGGAGCCAATCAAAGGCACAGAGATGAATAGCTCAGAAGCTGAAGAAAAGCAGCGATGCGAAGCTGAATTAAGACCACAATCACATTGACATTACTCACTCTGACCAGGTATCGGTCGGAAATTCTACCAGAACACACCCGACATTTACCCTGAACATCCCCGAGACGATTAGAGCGGAAAGCCTGAGAAGAAAAATTCACAAGCTCACCTGTGGTGTCGGTATCGACGCCGATGGACTCCACAACATGTCCCATTGCTGATAACGGAGGTTTTGTCTCGGTATAATCGAAGTCGGTCGAGTTCATCGTCATAGTGAACTACAGTAGAAGGCTGTTGGAGGGCCTCAGGCGACCGTCCAATCGTCATCTGGGGCGTGGTCTACGCCAGGGTGGAGTCAACGAATTACGCGTCCTGTTGCAGGGCATCTGTCACCGTGCCGCATTGAATATTAATGCTTAACTGTCAGACGCTTGCATTTTCGACAACTTCTTCGCGTCCACAGCCAATTCATTCTCAATGTGATGACAATGTGTGCGTAATAAAGTTGGACGTGGGCCTGCTTCAGGTAGCGCATGCACACAAAATATTTGGCTTCTTAAAATTCCATTCATCTATTTAGCGTACTAAGCGCTGCGTAGTACTCCACTTAGCAAGAGTTCTTCTCGCTCCACACCTTTGTCCTCCAGCACTTTTGCGTACTTACCTCTTCCCAGTCTTTTAAGGCAAGAATCAGGATTACATTGATGGGTTGATTCCACTCAAATGTGAAAGTAGGGATGGGAGGTGGACCGCCAGTGGAGAAAAAAGGAAAGAAAATCCTGAAATACACAGGAAATACGAGCATTTTGCTCTATGCTGTGTTCAAAAGACAGGCAGGGAGATGAGAGATAATGTGAGCGCGGAGAGTGGTAGAGAAGTCCGAGAAGAGAGAGCATAGCAGATCAACGCAGCGACGCAGACAAGACATCGATCGGTGGGCGGACCATGTTATGTTTGGTGGAGTCTGTTAGAAGTTCATGGCGCCTAGGGTCCTGGTGACGGGTTTCGATGTAGAAAGGTGGCGCTAACTTTGCACTTGGGTGCCCAGCACTTCTAGCCATGGTAAGGGCTTCTTAGGTGGGTCTGAGCCCGAACTTTGCCTTTAAGTCTAATATCATTTGCGGGAATGCCAACCGCTAGTCGAAGAACAAATGAGGGATAAAGGAGGTAACGCAATGATAATGATGATAGGAAGAATCCTAGCGCGCGCCGCTGGCAGCCTTCAGTTCCCCAACTGGCCTGGTAGAAGCGTCGCAATACTGATCTATTCACATTATTTCCGAAAACCAGACAGGTCGCTTGTGCAGACTAAACAACACAAAAGACGACGGTTCCCACAGGATGTAAATGCTTTCTGCCAATGAAATGACTTAGGCGGTTGCAGTCGTATTCTATCAGTTTTCACTAATTACAACTATCACTAACCATCTATCAGCTACCACTATGAACCACTTCTTACCAAATTTACTTCCCAGCCGACGGTCACTTGCGGTGTGTGGTCTGCATTCAACTCCACCTCGTCCCCGGAATTAGAGTATACATTGTAACTAATGAGAATCACAGTTCGCTCAAAGCCTCCCAATGTGCGTCAGCTTCGCTCGAAACAGCGTTTGAACGGCTTGTTCAGAGGAGCTTAATATCCAAGTTTATAGGTCGTCGATTCTTGCCATGCTATAGACGCTGTGATGTATTCAGGACCTGGTCTACTTGTATTCAGTACGCAACGGATATAAGTACAGCGATAACGAGAACGTGTTTTTGTCTCTCCAATGCTGATGCAAAGCAAGCAAATCCTCCCCCCTCCCGACTTATTGTTCGTTCAGACTGGTGCTGCACTTTCCTGATTGTTGATTGAGCCATTTTAATAAGGATTTTCTGTCCAAATAATACTTCCACTAAAATTTCAGATCCCTGCCTACCCTTGTCTTCAGCTTATCCGATTTCCAACAGCATCGGCAATCCCGCCAGAATAACAACAAATTTTTCCAATTGAAATGAATTGTCGCTCGATGCAGTTTTTAATGAGTGGGCTTATTGCACTTGACGGCTACTCTTAGATTCATCTCCACTTGCTGCCTAACGTACGAAGGTGATGAACGAGGAAGCCACGCTGGCGCCGAATCGTTTCGTTCACGCCAGCATTTATGCGCGAACAAATGGCGCCAGATCGTAATTCTGAATAATTCAGTTCCATCACCACACTGGCAGCCTGCTGGAGCACGCGAATCCAAGTCGACAAGACTCTGCACAATGGCCAGCCTTCAGTGCTCTCCCACATGTAGATAATCTCCCAAACCTGATGCTTGAAATTTATGAACCTTATCGTTAGTGAAACAGACTATGACGATTGGCAAGGACCGTTTTGAAAATTCCTGGAATTTTATGCATTTTTGTTCAGCAGAGATTTCTAACAAGAAAGGTCTTTCAGGACATGGAGCGCTTTTTCGAAATGGTTTTCTGCATGTTGTAGGGGCTCATGCGAGGAACACAGAACCATGATCCATTTTTCCTGAACGCCTCCAGGAATGTCAAAACAGTGGTGAAGAAATGGTCCAGAGTTCGATCCCCGGTGATGACTAATTTTTGCAATATAGTTTGGCGCCTCCAGATTGCCGCCAAATGGCGCTATCGTCGAGAATAGATGTCATTGTTGTGTTTTGTGGCAATTTGGAGGCGCCAACATGAATTGCAAAAATTTGTCATCACGGAGGATCGAAACTTTGGACCATTTCTTCCCCGCTGTTTTGACATTCCTGGAGGCGTTCAGGAAAAAATGGACCATGGTTCTGTGTTGCCCAGCTGCAGCTCTTCACAACCTTTAAGTTAATCTTTTGATAGACCTAACGATAAACTTTTAGACCTCCCTTTATAGCAGACTTACGAAGCTGTCAGTTCGTTTCAATTGCTCAACGTCTCTTTCACAAGATGAACAGGCAGATGGGAAAAATAAGTAAATAGAGTGTGTAAAAACCAGTGCTCGAACAGCAGTTTTAAAAAATAGGTATTTCTCCCATAACAACCTGTCGAAATGGGTTGGGCGTTGAGCTACAACAGCGAAAAGAATTCAAGTTGACCTTTCTCTAGCCGTACACGTCATTTTGTTCAAGCTTCTTTTGTATTAGTGTAACTCCGATAAATTAATAACACTGACACATTAAAGGAATCTTGCGCGGAAAATTCTTGCACTCTTTCCTAACATGAATATGTCAGTTGTGATCACTGGAAATAGCACACAAAGTTTCACGCATGAAGATTCGGTTTCTGAAGAGAAACAAACGTACAAAAACTACACGTTATGGACCATCGAAGGACCAGGAGGCAGAGCCAGGCGAGGCATGGAAAGAAGACGGCGTTTGGCCGGCTACGTACCAGGCGACGCAATGAGAGAATCGGGTTAAAGCGCGCGATTTCGGAGAGTGGAGACAAATCGATCGATGGAATAGGATGGAGTAGAAGTGTAAGATGTGAATGCAACGAAGCAGAAGGCCAGAAAGAGCTTCTAGTGAATGCACTCCAAGAACCAAGTTTGAGCATCCCCGTCGCCAGCATTCGTGAAAGACGTCCGTGGGCAATTCGAACGCGTAGCAGCCTTTTCGAGTTTTCGAATTTCTAATCAAAACGAAAGCAATACTTCAGTTCTTTTCACTATTATCGTGGATAATGAGTCTCAAGCCAGTGATTTATGGCTGAAATAGAATCATGATTTTTCCGCGCAAGATTCCTTTAAGGCGGTTTTTCGTATCAGAGCTTTGCATATTAGAGCTCGAAACAAACGGATGTGAGATGAGACGATCTAACTCACAAAATCGCGTCAGTCCCACGCGGCCAAAAAAGCCCGAACGTGCGATGTCGTCAACGTGCTGAAGTAAAAAACGCGACGTATCTAAGACAGCGAACTGTTTTCCTCCACGCGACTGCGCTTCCTCATTGCTTTATGTGGGGGGCGCGGCCCCATATGATAGGGAATTTTGGTCAAGGGGAGTCGTATGTAAAATTGTACTTAGATGCTATGTTATGTGAGAAGCAAAAGAACTGCCGATAGCGCCCTGAACAAAGCTCCCTATTTGTGGGTGATCTATGGGCTTGAACGGTTTACTGTGCATAGGAAAGAAAATAAGTGCTCGTACGAGAGACCTGGACGGCAATGGGGAGAAAAATGCTTGACATGAGATAGGTATGGACATTAGAGCGGCATCAATCACATTGTGTGCAATGCCCGGGGCTTGAAGGCGATATAAGCCCATACACGCACCACAGCCCTCGAAAACCTGATTTTTGCCAACGAAACTCCCTCAAAAGTGGAAGCTATTGTACAGCTCAGGTAATCAGGGAATTCACCTTTAGTCAAGTGGACAGATGTATGTAAGGTGACCATAATGGTAGCGGCTGGGATAAATTCAGTCTTTAACGCAAGATTGTGGATGGTCATGCTTTCGCGTGGATGATCATAGGCTCCCTCATGCACCCACGGCGCGCCCTCAAAGCGGTATCGTATCAAGTAAGCCACCAGAGACGGCCGTCTCTGGTGGCCTACTTGACACGATACCGCTGTTATTTCTAGATGGATGCCCAGCGGATCGCATAGAGACTTACTGAATCGATGGGTGGTAGTTTTGCAGCAGAAATGCGCTATTAACGACCAAATAAGATCCCGAAAAGGAACTCTTCAACACCAACGCACATAAGTCGCACTCGGCCCACGTAGAGAAGACTTAAAGGCAAAAGTCGGGCTTATAACCAAGGGGGGGTATTATGGCGATTGAAACTGAGTATAGAGATGCGAAGTGGAACGACAGTGGAGAAAAAACTGAGAAAAACCGTCGACAAGGCCGTTAACAAAACCCTCTTTCCCACTAGCAGTGAAGGAGGCTGGCTTGGGGAAAGAGGCACGTACAAACAAGTTTTCTGGAGATGTCAGTCGTTCTATCGGTTGATACGGCAATCAACCTAGCTGATTTCACACGTTATGCCAGCCACGCACCACTTCCGGAGGTGGGCGGTCCTGGATTGACCAGGCGGCCCTGGATTGAAACCGAACGCCCCGGGGCCTTAACGGGTTTTTCAAGGTGGGAAGTTGCTGCAATGTGTGCAGCTACCCACATACAACCTCCAGGCACGGGAATTACTTCTCTAGCGTGCCTGAGCCCGACCTTTGCCTTTAATACAATACCGCTATCACTATCGTCTAATTCCCATTCCAAAGTCCACTTCACAGAAGCAGCCGCCCTTCTTACCTGATCATATCGCATCGTATTTCTGACACCGGCTACAC